CTACCAAGCCATCCTATACTTTTCCTTACATTTTCCCTACCCAATACAGAACTCTACAATACCCCCAGTTAAATTCCATCCTATTCATTTCATCCTGCTGGTCAAGTCTCCCTACATCTTTTTGGAATCTTCTCTCTTTCATCTAAAGCAAAAGTCAGCAAACTATGGTCCACAGGCCAAATCACGCCTGACACCTGTTTTTCTACAACCTGTGAGCTAAGTTGGATGGGTGGGCAACAGATTGCCAGGCCTGAGTCTCAGTCAAACTTCCAGGGTGAGGGGCAGGGCCAAGGGGTCGGGATGTGGCATTTTGGGAGGCAGCAGCAGCCTATCAGTAGTTTCCTGGGTGGTGGGCCAGCACCATCCAATGGAGCAGCTCTCCTTCACCTGTAGACTGGCCAGCTGCACCTGCAGAGGTGGGGCAGGATCTGGCCCTTTACAAAAAGTTTACCAACGTCTGATCTAAAGTATTAGCCACCCCTCCCAATGTTATGTCATCTTCAAAGTTTCTAAGCATCCCCTCAACTCTCTCATCCAAGTTATTGATAAAAACACAGAACAACCCAGGGTCCAGGCCAGTGCTGTATGTCCAAAGTCACTACATAAAGAGGGATTTGACCTGACATACAGAGCATGTGATATAAAGCTTGGCACACCAAAACAAAAGTTGACCAAATTCTGATGGAGGCAGACTGTGCACAACCATTGCTTAGTCTGGGAGTGCTCAACAAGCCTGGGGCTGGGAAAGTGGGCAAACTTTTTTGGGCACTGTAGATTACAAAAATGGGGTAATGACAAAGCTGGGGGCCAAGCACCTTTTTAATGATTTTGGGGAGATTTGAGGGTGGTACTGTTGGTGGCAGCTTTTTGATAAAACAGTTGTGTAAAGCCTATTGGAGGCTTAACATAGCATCCTATTGTTTATGTTAAGTGACCTTGCCACCAAATTTTAGTGACATAATCTGGGGTACCTTCTGGGAACCACAGAAAAGAAGTTGGGCTACCTTTCCTGACTCAGAATTTGAGGGATTTAAATACTAATCAATTACAGTGTTGACAAAATTAAAATATGGAATAGTTGTTTTCTGCTCTTGGGGCAACATATGATCCTTAAGACTCAGGGGAAAAAGCTACTAAGCATTGTCTGCTATAGAATTAGTGTTCATTAACAGGAAACACCATCATTTTGAAATTTCTTGTGTGCTTTCCAGATTAATATGAACTCCAACTCATTTACATTGAAAAAGATTTGACACTTCCCAGCAGCCACTTAAGTTTAAGTTTAATCTCCATCAAAATCCTTCCTTCAATGTCCCTTAAGACTATTTTTGAAGCACCTGTTTTTACCATTTCTGGCACTGATACCACTAAGGAGCAGTGAAGCTTCAACATGTCTTGCCAAGTGCTTTGTGACAAAACTAACAGATACTTTATGAATGTTCTCACCTTTAACAAGCCATTTACTACATAGTAACGTGGGGGAGGCTTGTACTGGATTCAGAATGATGTATGAAAAAAGAGGAAAACTTTTCATTCCTGACCCTTATTTCCAATGGAGGTGTAACCTTTTAGATTCTGGAAATCCAACTTAATATTTTGACTGAATAGATGCATTCTGCAATTGTGGAAAATGAAGGAATGGATGAAGATAGAAGGAATTAATCTACAGTTGTTGGACATGTAACTGGAGCTTGTCCACCTCCTACTCCTATACAACTTTTTCCAGATAGCAATTCTGTTAATAAGTATGGAGGTAAAGCCTACCATGATAAGTTGGCAACTTAAATATTTAAATATTGGCTTTAGTTGCAGTGACATAAGTAACATGAGGCATCACTTCACTGATATGCTAGTGCCAAAGAAACAGGCAAGTTCCAGTGTTTCCTCACTAGTAACCTTGGTCATCACAAAGCTATGGTTTCTATAATGTTGATACAAGGGTAACATGCTAAGGAATATTGAAAGAGAAATGAGTGAAGAACTTCTTTCTCCCCTTGTATGTCCAACTATAGAGAAAAATTTGGGAAACTGGCAAATTCTCTCTATAATCTTGGATTACAATCTGAGATGAAACCATGATCTCCAATTCTGGGCTATAGGGAGCAAGGCCAATGACCAAGGCCTGGGAAAACTGAAGGCCAAAACATTTGTAGGTAACCAGACTATCTACCCCTCTTCCTAATAGATTAAAGGAAACATCCAAATGTTGGTGTAGGAACTATTTACCAACCTGATCTGTAATACAACCCGAAGAAAAAGGGAAAAGAAGAAAGGAACTACAACACAAAGAGTCACACTATTTTATCAGACACTTAAAAGGCCATATGCATCTGGATTCTTACTCCAAATCTTGCCTTATATCCATTTGCTCCATAGAGTGGAATTAAAAAAAAAAAAAAAACCTTGCATGAACAAAGCTAATTTTTGCCACCTAACCAGTCAGCAACTTCATATTTTTATTTATTTGCCACTTGTTCCCTGAACATACCATTAATTTCCTACCCCAAAACACTGAAAGTAGGCATACCTCAAAGTACCTCTTTGAACTGCTATCCAACGTCATTGGCTATTTTCTTAAAACACTGGATCAGAACAACTGTATAATTATAAAACTCAACAAAAGCATTTGCATTAAAAGAGAGTTTAAAATATTTTGAAAGGATATTAAATATGTTTGTTTGATTACAGTAGAATTCATTTCTCCTTCACTAAAGTATTCTTTTGACTCCAAATTTCAGTCTAATGCAGAAATAGGGAGCTTCGGGGCTCCAGATATGCTAGATTCTTACTCTCATCAGCCACAGTGACCAATAAGGAGGAAGAAACTGGCATATAACAACACCTGATGGGTTAAGTACCAGTTCTAACTCTATGTCAGGCTTCACATCTGTGCTCAGTGATAAATCACAGGTCTCCAGATACAGATGCTTAGTCTGGCTCTCAGCTGAACTGAGAAGACTCCCATATGTGATTTGGCTGAATTAGAATCCTTTGTGCAGACAAGATTGAAGCCTCAAACACAACAGTTAGTTGCCCTTTGTACTACGATGAAGTCAGAGACTTATATAAACCAGCTTTAAACTTTAGGCCTTTTCCTACCACCCTTCCAAATGAACATATTTGGTGGATCACTTGGTGGCCTTGAGCAGTTGGGATTTGTTTCCACAATGGACCACTGAGGCTGAGAATCACTGGTTTCCATCTCTCTAGCCTCAGCCCTTACACCCTCTCCATTTTGAGAAAAGCAAAAGTGATCTGCAGTGTGCTATCTGAAACAGATTGTACAGTTCATTTTTACTGTATCTGTTTTTAAATTCAGACCAGGTAGGTCAGCTTTTAGTTAAACAGAATGCTCTCCCAAGAAAAGAGAAGAAAACCTAAACGCAAGATTCATATTCTGAAGTAAAGTGCCTCTGACTACCAAACGGTGGAGCCAGAGGAAGGCCACTGCCTTCTCTGACTAATTATGGGATTTGCAGAGGCATTTGGTTCATAGGTTTAACCGAGCATTAATGCTTCTTCACCTGGCAGCACAGAGACAAATACTTGGAGCAGTCCTGCAAAAACAGGGTTTTCTAAGAACTCTACCTCTCTCCATTTTACTTCTCACCTTCTCCACACCAGCCACGCAATGGGTTTCCCTGCATTCTGTTCACACAATGGAGCCCATCCTAACTGGGCCACTATGATTTTTAAACAAATGCATTTTTTAAAATAAAAGGCAGCAGGAAGTGACAGACTCTCAAAGACTTCTGAGGTGACTGGAGACCTGTCAAATTCTGAGCATCTCCCACCAGCTTACTACCATTTTTACATCAGGTAGCTACAGAATGGGTCAACTGCATCACGTAAACATAGTGTAGTTCCCAAAATTGGAAATAGCACAGCAAATCCCCACAGAAGCTGTTACTAGCCAAAACTGGGCTCAAGTCCATTCATCCTGATATCTTACCATGTGACTGAACACAGGCAAAAGGGTTGCTTACTTGCCTGTAGGTAAATCATGTTTATATGAGCCAGGCCAAACAATTAACTCAACTTCCTCACTGAGCCAAAACAGATAAGTTATTCTCACAAGATAACTACTGTTTTGCTAAAAAAATAAACCAGCAGAACTTCAGGGGGGATCAGAAAGAAACTCCACTGGTGACAATTAATGCTTCTCTCCCCAATTCATACTGTTTACTTCAGTGCAAGCAAAGCCCTTTTGGAGAGTTTCTCCCCTTTTCTTGAGAAACCATTCTGCTTAACTAAAACCTGATCTAACTAGTCTGAAGGTCTACAATCAAAGCCCCACCCCTTGCACATGCATGACCCATGGGCACCACTGAAGTAAACAGTACCTTAGTGGGCCACTCTTGCCTCTCACATTCAGACTGGATCTATGGATTTGGGGATGTGCATTCACAGTCACCAGTGGAGTTTCTCTCTGACACATACAAAAACCACACAAACATCCTTCCCCATCTGGATCAGGACTACTGCAGCACCAACCAAGACTCTCAGCCAGATAAAGGGTCCTCTTTAAAGAGAATTTCCCTACAGTTATTACTTGTGCTAGGAGCATCATATGGGGTGGTTATTTGAAGCAGAAAGGATTTGCAAACAGAATAAACAGACCAGCCTACCACTTCATGGGACAAATATCTACCACATTGTTCTATTGAAAAAGGACCTTAAGGAAGAGTTTGGTCTGTGTAACCTGAAAGCTTTACACAAAGAGGTCCAAAGGGGAAGGCAGCTGCTTTGCTGAACAGTGGAGCTACAAGAATTTTAATGGGATGTAAACTGTTAAAAGCAACAATGGAGCATAACAAAGGGCATATATGCCTCAACATCCTTTGCAGCTGTTGAGACAATTCCCAAATTTCTGATTCAAAAGATAGACTTCTAACATCTGGATGTCACCAACTAAAGAAGCAGAAGCTTTCTTTCTCCCCCCCACCATCTCCCCCGCCTCCCCTACCCTTCCCACAACGCATTTGAATCCACAGACCAACCTTCTGCATAGTGCAGCACAAGGAAGACCGATTCCTCTGAGATGATGTACTTGTGCAGAGCCACCATGTTGGGCACGCTGCGGGGGATGATGGTCTTTCTCTTCCTGCTGCATTCGCTACTTTTCCTTAGACCCTGACAGAGAACAGAAAGGTCAGTTGTACCCTCAGTTGCCTTTGGAGCATGCTGTGCTCTGTGCTTATCAACCAAACTAATCTATCCAAGTTACTCCAGGCTTCAGAGAAACCACTCATCTGCTGTTCTGTGCCCCTCAGTCCCCTGAGGCCCTGCTGATGGCATCTGGCGCACATCCAGAGAACAGAAGATGGCACAAAGCTGCCATTAAAATCAATTACATGGGTCAATGTTTTCATTAGAATCTCTCACAAACCAAGTCATCAGAATGACACTCAGTTATTTCTCTATGACCTTTTTTCCCCCAGATATCTCTTGGGGGGAGGGGCAGGGAGGGCAGGGGCTGTGCTTTAAGTATCAAAGCAAACTGTTAAATCCATTCACATTCCAAAGGCAAATCTTGCCCCACCTTCAACTTTATGGGCTGGAATATGCATATTTCCATTAGATTGAAGGGAAGATAGAGTGATGATATGGTTAGTTTCCTGAAGGTGTTATAGATTTCTAAAGATGGCACACACAAACAATGAAACAACTTATGAAAGAAGCATTGCAGATAAATAAAGTGGGGTTGAATTACTGAAGATCACAATCACTTTTCACAAGACCTTAGGCTACTGCTGAAAACAAATCAGCTCTGATTCTCTTCCTCCTCTCAGCAATGTCTAATGAAACAAAAATATGCATTACTACTATGCAAATGTTCCAACTAACCCTGCGCTTTGTTTAGTGACCTAACTGTACTCATTCAGCTTTATTAGATGATATTAGGAAATGGAGAAAGAGATCCAAGATTGTCATTCTCTCATCTCATACACTGTTTGTGCTGGCCTTGTCATCATCATGCTGCTTCCAAACTTGCAAATTAAAACAAAGGCTTCTTCAAGTGGAAAAATATTATACAAATAGGAGTAGAAAACTCTAAAGCAGTGGGGGCCCCAACATATTGGCAAAAGCATCAGGAAGGGGGAAAGCTGTGTGATGCATCCTTTACATGGGGAGTGGTTTTCCAGATATTTAGAACCACAACTCACAGCAGTCTCAGCCAACGTGGCCAACAGTGAGGAATACTAGAAGTTGTCATTTAGCAAAATCTGAATCACAAAAGCACAATACCGTGGGATAGGGAAACAAAGAAAAACAACAGCTATGCTTAAAACTCCACAAATGAGTAATGGCCCCTGAATTATCCTCTCCCACTCATTGTAAACATGAATAGCAGCAACACACTGCACTACAAGTACTGGGAGAGAGTGAAGAATTACTTTACTGTCAATATTTACTACTCCCAGTATTGAACTGACCTAGATATTTCAGTGGAGAAAATGTAAACTGTGCCATGGTACACTGACTGTAACAACTCCCTTTTCTTTGATGGTCAAAGCAAAAATAAGTGTTGCCAATAGTAGAAGCCATTTATCAGTTCTGTAGACTGCCACTGAAGATTAACGATCAAAACACAAACTCCACAAACCTGACTGATGACGTTCTGGATTTTGTGGACTGAACTGTAAGCAGTGGAAGACAGGCCCCCACGGGCACAGGGAATGATTTAGGAAAAATAACGACTTACCTTCAATATGTATGTCTGTTGTGTCCTAGTATCCATTACAAGCAAAACCTAAATGAAAGAAGTAACTGAAATTAATCCAATTTGTAGGAATTTTCAGTTATCAGTATTAGTATTTCCCCTCTACTGATCAGAAATGTAAGTCTCTAAAATGGACCTGACAGGGGGAATATACGCAACAATTAATTGTCTTTTTTATAAAGATATGATAGCTGCAATGCTTAATCAATGAATCAATTAGACTGATTATTTAAAAGTTAATCAGTAAGATTGTCAATTAAAAATCTATCCCTAATTAGCAGAAGCATATTTTAAGCAGTTAATTATTTTTAATGAAATACTTATACGCACTCAAAATGGAAAGCAGAAAAGGCATGCCCCTCCTTGTTATCTCATACAACGCACATGCCTGTGCCATTATTTAAAAACAAAAGGATGATGTAAAAACAAGAGAGCTTTTTACCTTCAAAATTATGCTTACCTGCAAATTTATGCAATTCCAAGAATAGTTCATTGACAAATCTTGTAAGCTTAATCAACTTTTTTTTTCAATTGCATGAAAGCCATGGAAGTTTGCTATCTATTCCTATTCTTTGGATCCAGCTTACATGCAGGCCCAGAATTAAAGTTGTATGTACTGTATTGTAAGGCAGAGCAACCAGCACTGAGTTTTCTTGTATCAACTCACTTCATGCAGAACTCTTGAATGTAAACAAGATGGAGTGTGGACTGACAACTTAGATGTCTTTAAAAAAGCTTGGACTAATTCATGGTCAAGAACTATCCATGCCTATTAGTCAACATCCTGTCTCAGTGCCTGGAATCTAATGGAATCTGACTGGAGACGAATAGGCTCAGACTCATTCTTAGAAAGACAATGAGCAGGTGGCAGCCATGGAGGGTCTTTGCACAGATATATCAGGTGCATCAATTATACTCATTTATAGTTGGGAAGCCCTACTGATGTTCAATCATAGTTTAGATGCCTCTCATTTGGGCTACTGCAATATGCTCTACATGGGGCTGCCCTTGAAGACCACGTGGAAGCTTTAAATAGTCCTGAATGCAATGGGCAAGTAGTTACATGGGTATATCTCATTTCATCCATGTGACACCTCTACTGCATGAGCTGTACACTAGTTGGCTTTCAGATGCAATTCAATGTGCTGTCTCCTAGAGCAGTGTTTTTCAACCTTGGCATCTTTCAGATGTGTGGACTTCAACTCTGCGAACTGGGGAATTCTGGGAGTTGAAGTCCATACATCTGAAAGTTGCTAAGGTTGAGAAACACTGTTCTAGAGAACCCTTCACAGCTTGGGGCCTGGATACTTGTAGGACTGCAATTGTTTCTGCCTGTCCAGTGAGATCTGGCAGGATCAGCATGCTCCAGGTCCCATGAGCAAAGCAATGCCATCTTGCACGACCCTGGAGATGTGCTTTCCCTGTGGCTACCCTTGCCCTCTGGAACAACGTTCTTCCCAAAATTCATATGGCCCTGACCATGTAGACCTTTGGGAAAGTTGTGAAGACTTAGCTTTTTCAATAAGCCCTGTAACAAGGCAATTTGTAACCCTGCTGGTGTGTGTTGCTTGTATTATTGTTTCCCAATGTGGATGGTTTATATTTGCTATTTTAAACTGTTATTTTATCTTTATACACCACCTAGAGTTACTTTGACAATAAAGCCAGCACTTTTTTTCTTCTTTTTAGCATTTGCCCTGTTTAGTTGCAGGGTCTGCTTTTTGCCTGCACTTGCCTAGTTCACACAGTGAAGCCATCAGTGCAGAGTGCAAAGGGGTTTGTTCTGCAGGTGGCTTGTTGCAGAGCCCAATGCAGTTCTGTAGCTGAGAAAAAGTGATTGGCCAAAGGTCACGCAGCTAGCTTCTCTAGCAAAGGGAGTACCAGACCCTGGTTCTCCACATCCTAGTGCAGAACTTTAACCACTATACTGTGCTGACTCTCTGAGTGGGGCAGCTAATAAATCGATTGGACAAATAAATAATGGCTATATATTATCTCCCGCAGGAGAGACAGTATAGCTTGGGAAATGTGAGTGGGAGATTGCTAGTACCCTCTAATCTCGCTGTGGATTTTTTCAAATGACAAAAATATAATGGAGGAAGCAGGATCACTGTAGCCCTACACTTCCCCCTCACAGAGCAATTGTATCATGCCTGGAATTGGGCTGTAAAAACAGCAACTCATGCCCCAAACCAACCCAGCCAACATAAGCATATCCCAGTTCTAATGTTCTGATTTAGTTGAACACACACTGAACATATTTAATTGGATCAATGAGAGGGGTTGTGTGCTGCAGGAACACCAAAAAGGGATAGATTAACCCACTCAACTACTTCCAAGGGATTAAATATAACCCAAACCAGAGCTAGCTACTCTATTACAGAATTCCCTGCCAATGTCTAGCAACATACAATTCATCTCTTGCGTTAATATACCTGGTCTGCAAAAGTCCATTCAGCCACTAGAGGGCAGCAAAGAAATACAGTACAGTAAACAGTTGATTGGAGTTTTGCAGCCTAGATCTTGTATTCCTAGTTTCTTTCAAAACACGGATTGGCTACAATGACCAAGCTGCTCCTACTGCTGCCTGTGTGTGACCAGTAGGGAAGAGCCTACTGGTATTATAACACCTTGCCAGGCTGCTTCAAGGATAATAGCTGCCTCCTGGAGAATCCCCTAACAGTGATTTCTGATCTAGTTACTATTACTCTGTGTTGCCAAAACCATTGGTAAGGGTTTCTGACTAGGCCAGAGGCTGAAGGGATGAAGCATATTGTGGAATAGGACCAAGGAGTGAGAAGAGCTCACCTAGGCTTGTATTTATTGAGTATCGGTAATAGAAACTCATATCAGGAAAAAGCACAATTAGCTCTGAACATATGAGTTTCTTAATTCATTATTTTGTGTGCTCACACTTAGTAGGGTGGCAAAAGCTTATCTGATCTTCAAACCAAGATATGTATAAACACACACACACACACACACATATATGGATATTAAGAAATATTTTAGTAATAATGCTGCCTATATAAATATGAACTCAATCGTGCCCAAGGGGGAAAAAAAATAAGCATGCTTTCACATGTGTTCATTTTATGTCACTAAGCTGGTAAGTTTTTCATCAAGATTGTAAATCAGAGCAATTTAAAAATGGACTAGGAACTGATGGAATAAATCATAAGAAGACAATTGAGTTGTGGTCTCCCTTGTTTAGCCGCAAGACATGTGGGGTGGAAGACATGCCAAATTGAAACAGATAAAAATGGTTAAAAAGTGATGCATCAATTTTCCTAGGGACTTTGTCTTTTCAACCAAGTTTGTTTGCAGCTAGCTAACATTCACATTGAGGCAGTAAATACAAGAACATATGTGATTTTTTTTTAATGTGCCCTTTGACTGTCAATTTTTCCCAAACAGGTGTTGGTTAAATGATTATAAATTGGCCCCTGGATACACCTCTTCAACTGAGCCGTACAGGACTGGAGATAATATAATTAGAGTAAAAACATCAGGCTGGTGAATGCTTTCCATCTGTTTGGCAATAATATTTAGTTAACAATAGTCTTTAAAAAGAAGCACCTTCAACTTCCCTTCTTAAAGTTATTTATAGAGCCATTCTTAACACCCCAGCACTCTTGCTAACAAGAGCTTTAGCCACTTGGAAATTATTAGCCATACGGCTAATAGCATGAAGAAACGTCTGTACACAGCATCTGCAGCTCTCCAAATTTACACCAAGCAACCTCATTTTAGAGTCATTTCTTAATGAATGAGCTTACAACTCTGCATTAATATTATCATTGCATACACAAAAGATCATAAGGAGCCAAGCATTTAAACAAAACAAAAAAAACCAACACTAGGCTAATCGGTAGTGAAGCCATCAGCATAAAGGACAGAATAATCACTTCTTTAACCCTCAAGAGGGCTGGATCATTTATAGGGTAGAACACACAATTTAATAACACTGCTCATGGCTTTGCTCACCTTTCTAAAGACAAAAATCTAATTTGAACTAATTTGATATGACCGTCTTCCCAATCAAAAGCACCCAACACAGACTTTCATTTCAGGATAAAACAACTGCTGTAACCAAGCCGTCATGAAATAATTATCTTTGATAAGCATATTGTTATTAGGATGGATACAATTAAAAGAATGCTCCTTTTAATTTCACATATTTGTTTATCTACATTTACCTACTACGCAGCTAAGCTTTAATTGAATATGTTGTCTAAGTAGGAGTCACTCACAAATAGATCATAAACTATATCAGGGTAATTTTTCTCAGCTCCTTCAGAATCACTATGAATAACCTTGAGTGTGGCTCACACATCCTATTCTTGTCAAATGTGGAGTTACCATTTATGGTAAGGTTTGCCAATCTATGGTTTGATATAAATCCTCTGTGGCAGTTGATGCCATAGTGTTAGGAAAAATAGGATGCCAGTAGGATGCCCTTGCCAGAGAAAGCAAATGAGAAAAATCAAAGGTACATCAGTCAACTAAGTAGATCCTTTCCTTATTTCGTTTTTTTAATGAATGAATGCACAGTTTCTCAAAGAAGCATGGAAACATATTCTTACATGTGCTCGCATATCCCGGTACAGTAGGGAACTTGTAGCCCCCCAGATTTTGCACTTTGAATTCCCATCTACCCAACCAGCACAACCAATGTAAAAAATAACTGTAGACCTACAACATCTGGATGACACAGGTTCTTTACCTATTGTAGTGCTAAATGTATCAAAATAATGACAGAGGAAGTTTCTTTACACCAGGGCAAACTATTTGTCCATCTATTCTAGTAATGCCTACTCCTACTATCAGCAACACTCCACGATCTTGGGCAAACATCTTGCACATCATAAAATAACTGATTCTTCTAAATGAAGATGCTACAGCCTATCTAAGATTTTTTTTTAATGCAAAGCAGATGCCATATAATTCAGCTATGGTCCCTTTCCTCAATTAGCCCTTACTGCAACTCATCTCTCTGAAGAAACTTCCATACTCATTACTAGTCTTAT